GGGGCAGTCTAATAATCAAGAGAGGGGGGCAGTCTAATGATCAAGAGAGGGGGGCTAGTAATAAAACTATTTTTTTATTCCGAAGGTAATGCTATTAACATGTGGTCCAATTTTTTATAAAAACACATAGCTATCTGTGGTTTTTCTTGGGCTTGGTTTTTTTTTACAAGGCACACCCACTCCTGATTTTCCATATTTATTTATTTAATCCGCAGTATATCAGCGTCTTGGTATCTCCGTTTGGGTGAGATGGTGAGGAACTACTCGCCGGTGCTGTTTCCTTACGTAGCTGTGATACTCTTGTTAGCAACTAGAAGTAATATGATAAACTTGAACGTCCACGGCACTTGTCTGTCTGTACATCAAGCCTTGTTGTGTAAATATTCAGAAGCGTTGTACGCGATAGCTCTGCTTGGAATCATCGGTATGGCTTTCACGTAAGTTTATTTCATACTAATATTATAAAGAGGAAAGATTTTTATTTTTGTATTTATTGAAATAACTCAAAAATTACTGAGCCGATTTCTTTTTAAATTCCACGCGGACGTAGTCGCACGCAAAAGTTAGTAAGCTATAAAACGAGTAAACGACCCCAATTCGCCGAAATAGCGAAGGGACCGCCGTCCAGATATCCGCTTTTGCATATACCTTGTCTTTGATCTATGGGGAAAGATCATATATGGCTCATGCTGGGATGCTGAAGTTTCTATTTATTGTATTATTTCTTAGTAATTGATTAGTATTAGGTTAACCATGTTTCATTAGAATAAAACTCAAGTTATCTAATTTGAAAACCCATTTAATGAAATGTAGCTGAGAAACTGGCCTTTAGTTGATTATGAATGAGGTTAGGTTAGTCTTTGTGACTTTAAGGTTTTACATAAAGAAAAGCATTCCAAGATGTAAATGATCACTAAAATATGTTTATTAAAATTAGAGAAAAATTTATTACAGTTTTTTAACATCATGTCATCGGATGTAATTTGAAGGATTGTTTCAAAATGTGATATATATTTTTAGATACATACCAGTACTACATATAAATGATATAGTGACGTTAAATAATCAAGAATTAATATACTTTGGGCGGTCGCTGTTGACTGTGGGCGCGTACTACGCGGCCATGGGCATCGTGTTTGTTGCTCACGCGGCTATACTAGCTATCATCGTGTTCAGCTCACAACTCGCATATAGGTTCTTTTTAAGGTAATTTCCTTTACAAATGTCAAAATTCAGGTGTTTAAATGACAATAAAAGACTTCGCCATTGGTTAACAATTACCGTTATAATGGCAATTTGTATTTTTTGATGCTATTGGCTTATAATTTTTGTCTCTTGCATGACTATTATTTTTTCGATTTGTCACCCTTTTTATTGAATAACGCATAAATATTTAGCCCGTAATTTGAATCTTACAAGCCATAGAAGTATCATAGTTTAAAAGTACGAAAATAACTGACTGACTAGATGCCAATACAGGCTTACTACATTCGGAGACGTTAAGAAGTACTAGTCATTAAGTGTATATTTTGTATGAGAAAACTACCGTAATGGACTCAAATTTAAATATTAACTCAATAAACATGTCTGAGTATGGATTGTCTATGTATTTGTCTTTGAACAGGATTGTCTGGCGTGGTGGTGGAAATGTTGCAGAAAACGTAGCTTTGGGACTACGTAAGTTACCAGTAATTGTGACCTTAACTATGAGCTTCATAACATTTAGTTGCGGCGCCGCGGCGCTGGCGCTCGGCGCTGCCTTCTACGCATTTATGGTGAGTTTTTACTCTATGATTCTAGCTATCATTAAATTTCTCTATGGTTAACAGATAAAAAAAATTACAGATATCCAAAATGTACGAAGACTACCTCGAAGATTATGTTTATAAATTGATGGCGATAATAGGAAGTAGGATCTGCAAGATCTTTACTTCAAAAAATAAAGAAAAAAGTAAAATGCTATCCATAGACAATAAAAACGATAAAGAGGACATAGATAAAGAATCTAAGGAAGAATCAAATGTTTGCCAAACGAAAGAGGATACTAAACCTACTGAAGAACATGATAATTTTGATGAAGATTTGAGCAAATTGAACTTCCACATGATGATGTTGCTCTTGTGGTTGATAATCACTGTCGTTAATGTTCCCGTACTTTTGACTTGGGCTAGGAATTTTAAGTAAGTATAGAAAAAAAATTTAGGCTCGGAGCCCCTAAGTGGGGACATTACTGAGCTGGCGATGAATTAATAAAAAGAACAAAACTTTAAGTAAATACTCAGGACCATGTTCAAGTTAAAACATGAACAACAAAAATTCTATATTGTCTACAGTTCTATGTAAATCATTGTCTATGCTCATTGCAATGTTTTTTTTTTTCAGATATAATGTATCCTTATGTCCTGATACTTCCTACATCTCTGGTTGTGTGATGACATTCTGCTCGGGTGTTATTTGGCAAATGGATGCACCAAAAAGGAAATCGTAAGTCATTTCATTTTTAAACAGTTTTTTTTTTGTAAAATCAAGTTAAATACCTGTATTGATAGAACTGTTGATGTTTTTTTTTTATTTTTCTGTTTTAAGGAGTTTTTAAGCTTTTTTAAAAAATTCAACCTTTTTTTTGTTTTAGGGTCTATTATGAAGCAATAGCTAATCTTATTATACCAATAACTATATTTATATTCGTATTAGGACCATTTACAATGACATTAGTCAATTATGGCATGACTTTTATATTCACCATAATAACATTGCAACAACTATTTCACTTATATTATCATGAAAGTAATGAAACAGTTAATGAAGAAGTAAAATCAACGGAGGAAACTGACACTTCTAAATTACCAAGTGCAAATGTACTAAATAATGATGAGAAAGCTAGTGAAGAAACGAGAGCAAAGGATGAAAAAGGTGATGAAACTCAAACCAATGAAAAGGAAAAATCTAATAATTCACATGTAGATGAAAAGTTAATTGAAGATTTACCCAATGAATGTGATGTTTGTGATGAAAATAGAATATATAAGGTATTTAAAAATCTCAGAGATAAATTTAGCTTTAGTACTGAAAACTCTTAAATGACCAGTGGAAAGTTCCTTGATTATTTCAAGTTCTATTTGTGAGTTTGAGGAAATTGTTAAATAAAATTAAATTGTTTTTTAGGCAGCTAATGTATGAGAAAAGTTGTTTTTTGTAAATATTTTTTAATTGCTAGTTTTAGCAATGAATATGTTTGTCTATTATGAAAAAAAATCTGATTGAAACAAAATATTGAGATTTTTTTATACAATTAAACTTTTGTTAACTTGTACTAGATTTTTTTTAGTTTGTGAACTCAGCATTATAATGCACTACAATTTAAATGACAACCATGAGATTTTTTTTACATACATTTACATCCCTTTTTATTTTGTATAGCAAATGAAAGTATTTGTAACAATTGACATTATCTGTTTATAAATAAAGAACCGAGTTTTCTGTAATAGTTTTCTTTTTAGTATATAAAACATTTGTCATTTGACAAACTTATCTAGGTCTATTGACTCTAGCCTATAGCCCTTCCTTAAAAGTAGAAAATGTGACAAGAGACAAGAGTGGATTACTTCAGTGTAGACTTTACTGTTGGGTAAAACCAATTTTATCACACTATGCATTATGTTTCTTTCAAAGGTGAATCTGTAGTACTTTTCATTTAGTTTCATACATGAAATTTAAACAGCAACTCACACCATTCGTTCAGAAGAGTAGGTAGACTAGTGACTTGCATTTGATGTGGTCCAGATATACTAATCTTGATTGTACATTTAGAAAATAATGTATGAAGGTATTTAGTAAAAAGAACAATATCTTATTGGACTTCATACAAAATATATTTCAGGCATTAATAGAAATCAATTTTGTCAATATTACACTTTATGAAATAAAAGAGCGGGAACTTATTATCTATTTATTTGAGAACATAAAAGACCAAAATTCACAATCATCCCCTTGAAATGTTACCCATCACTTCTTGCTTTTCTTTCCGGAAGGTTTTTCTTCTGTGTTTTTAGGGTTTTGCCAGTTTAACGGATTTCTTCGGTACATCGGCCACGGTGGCACGGTCAGAATAGCAGCTAGCAAAAACCCGGCTCCAAGAATGTACACTGATTGAGAGAACTGCTGAACTATGTATCCCCAAATAAAGCCGACAATACTGAACAATGTAATGATTGCTCTATACAATTTTTCTGCTTTTGCTTGACCAACATAGTCAATATGTGTAGGAATAGACGAGAAAAAATCCATTTTAATAACTTAACTTTTAGTTCGCTTTGCTTTGAAAATTTGTGACATTTGACATGAGGGACACGTCACGTCAATAGTGCTGTCTTCACTAGAGATGTCCGATTTATCTCTTGAGCGATGAAACATCGATGTGACAACACTTAAGTATCGATTTCATTCACGACTTATTTTTTTTAAACGTTTGTTTTGTGACTCTTACATAGTTGAACGCCAAAGGAAATTAAACAACATGTTTGGTAACGCAGATTAAATGCAACACATTCTAATATTTTGGTCATAAATATATACTAATACGAAAAAACGAATATTTATATGATTGTGAATAAATGATGATGAATAGAATCGATAATGTTGATAGAGTTCTACAAATACTTACATTAAGGCTCCAGGTTTTGTTTTCATAGTGGTTACTTTCCATCGTATTAATTTATTTACAAACAAACAAATGTTCTAAATATAATTAAAATGTTAGACACTGTGTAATACTTTACTAAAGCGTTTAAAAGTAATCTGTAAAACCGGTATTGTTTTTATCGACCATCACTATGCAGTGCGCTTTTCCGTCAGTCGATTGTCAACATTCAGTACGATCAGACTCATTAGGTTAATTTTACAGATATTATATTTATTTTCCAAAAAGTACAATAATCGAAATTAACAATAAAATGACAACGTTGAAACAAGTTCCTCTCACATGTGGTGGCCATACTAGACCAGTTGTTCATTTGGATTTTAGTGACGTTACAAGTGATGGATTTTATTTGATTTCGGCCTGCAAAGGTAAGTTTTAAATATTACTTGAGTATCGGGGTGCCGTTTTTCCATGGCCTACATATTATTGGAAGACTTACAAGTGTATTTTGTTGTTTTATCATATGATTGTTGGACAGATGTTGGAGAGCGTAGATGCGTTGAAAGGCCTTCACTTTTCTTATTTTGCTAGTAGTTCCGATCGGCCGGTATGCATTCTGAATGTGATCTGACCTTCTCTTTCCGGACATGCAGGAAGCGCCTTGACTGGTGTCCGTATATTTCCTCGCGGCGGCTGCTTGCCTTGACAGTAAAATCGTGCTTTTTATTTGCGCCTGTGTGACAAGACTTACATATTACACGACATTGTATGTTTACGAAATGCTGCTAGGCTTCAAACTTTGTTTCTTTCCTGTTGCCTGTTGACATTTCACTTGTGTGGGTCACCTTGTACTTCCTCAAGGTTCCTAAAAGTACTTGACATTATTGTAAACCACATAGAATGTTAAGCAATGCCCGCAACTACTTTCATTGTTTCATTGATTAAGGAAAATGAGTTAACATTGTGATAACTTTGTACAAGATATATCTTTTAGTTTTATTTAACCTTAGTTATGATATTTAATATAAAAAATATTAAAAAAGATAATATCAATAAGATAATTTTTGTCTCAAACATTTTAGTTGTTTTTGGTAGGCAAGTCATCTGATGACCACTGCTTATGGACTTGGACGATAGACAGGCAGACAATTTTCTATATTTTGCATATTCTTATTTTTATTTAATAATAGTGTTTATTTCATTTATATTTAAAATATCATAGTCACAGTATTTAAAGTTTTCAGCTACATCCCATTGATTTTTATATCAACAGTTTAGCATTTGTTATTAGAAATATTGGGGAAATAATGTTTGTTTCGAAAGAAATTTAATTAAGTTCACATGTAACAATAAAAAGGTGAAATTATTCTTATAAAATGCAATATAACTTCTAGAGACTTCATTAATTACTAGTTTCACCTTAAAGGGATATGTAAGATTGTCAATGTCTATAAATAATTCATAACATCCTTTGTTATAGTATGAGTTTCTTTACAGATGGCAAGCCCATGTTGCGGCAAGGTGAGACAGGTGACTGGATCGGAACTTTTGAGGGTCACAAAGGCGCTGTGTGGGGGGTAGCTTTGACACAAAATGCAAATCTAGCAGCTAGTGGAGCAGCCGATTTTTCAGGTATAAGTTTACACTTGATTAAAATGGAGTAAACATACTAAATGGAAGTAGTTAATGATGAAATTGCAACTTTTTTGCTGAGTTTCCATCCTAGGATATATCACATACTAAATATTACAAAAAATTAAAATAGTTCATACATTATGTATCAAGTACACTTCAGGGATAAGTTACTATGTATCTTATTTAATATTTAATTTATGTTTTCTTTCAGCAAAATTATGGGACGCTCGATATGGTGAAGTGGTCCATACATTTGACCATGAACATATTGTAAAGAGTGTGAACTTTAATGCTGATGATACTTTGCTGCTAACAGCTAGTAATGAGAAACTAATAAGGGTTTTTGACCTCAACAAACCAGAAGCGGGAGGTAATTCATCATTTATAACTTTAAAAAAATGCATACAGTAGTAAAATTTGTATAGCAATATATGGAAGGTGTAAAAAAAGTAATTATGTTTTAGTATAAAGGCAAACTGATATTGTAATAAATTATATTATTTTTGTCTGATGGCAGCAGATTTTCTAATTCCAGTATGCAACTTTTAGTAGAATTGTACTATTAACTAGATTAGTCATGTAGATAAAATAATTAGTAATTTTTTTTTGGATTTGACCACAATCTTTTTTACTTTACAACTATTTTTGTTCTTATCAATGGAGTTATTTCCAGTCCTACTTCTTTCTGCCATCCTCACCTTAATGAATAAATTATATGTAAGAAATGTAGAATAAGTTTGTTCTATCTCATATTAGATTGTAAATGTTTAGTCCAGCCATAAAGACTGGAATCTTTCAGTATTTAATAAGATTATAAAGTAACAATGTTTATCCCATTGGTGGAAAAATTGTTTCCTGGGGGTTACACTTTGTATTATTTGATATCCTTTATTATTTATTTTACTCTAGCAGTAAATAAATACGGAAGATAAATAGAATGTCATGTATATTTCCGCAACCTTGAAGTAGATTGCAAAATAAGGCGAACCAAACACTTTCTTTCCTTATATTCCCTTAAATAAGGTTTAAGCGTTATTAACCATTTTTTTTTAATATTTCACGATACAGAAATGAGTTAACGAATCTCATTGTTTAACTACCTATTCAATGGTAGATTAAATTTTTGAGCTACGTTTTTTGTCAGCCTTTAAAATTCCACAAACTTGCATGCTTGTAATTGTACAATTTCTCGGAAATTCTCACAATCGAAGTCAACTAAAATGATTTTATAATCGATGTGTCAGATTTGATTATCGTTTATTGAAATGAAACATTATTTACTGATTTGTAAAGAATTTTATAGCGTATTCTATAACAAGGGGATAGCCAAAATCTTTTTAGTGTCCGAATATAATTGGATAAAGTTGGTGGCGTGATGTTTTAGAAGGAAATGGTGTCACGTTCTTCACGAAGGATTAAGTGATTGCTTAATTGGTTTTTATGTGTATGAACATAAGAAGATATAATTTTAAATTATTATTATTAAAAACGTGTAATAATAAATATGTTTCTTTTTACGTGTTCCAGCTTTAGAAAAGTTCAGTGCACACACGAACAGTATTAGACACGCTGTTTTCCTCAATAACTCGCGAATCGTCAGTGTAAGTGACGACCTTACCATGCGCGTCTGGGACAGGAGTAGCGGCCAGGTGAGAAACTTAGTGTGTTTACACTGAATACATTCTAAATACATTGTAATCTATCAAATTTTATTTTAAAATATAGATATAGCAATATGGTTGGCTTTGTGTAATTTTAAAATTATTTTCTATTTTCTTTCAGGAAGTCAACAAAATAGAATTTCCTACGATTCCCAACAGTTTAGAACTGTCGAGAGATGGCGCTATACTGACAGTAGCACATGGTAACGTATTTTCCATTCATTTTTATCAAACTAATCGCAAATCTTGAATCAAATGGTTAATTTCTAATCTCTGAAGAAAAGGGTCTTAAAAATTATGTGATGTGATACAGATGTTATGTTAGAATTAAGTAAAAGTGCTGTCCGTAAAAGTTACAAAAAATAAAAAAGTTGCATTTCCCTTTACAATTTTGATTCAAATATTTTTTATGTATAGATGTAGAGTGCCTCCCTAGACAATGTCCCATTTGATTAGCGATATCGCTGACTTTTAGAAATATACGGAACTGACCATTTGTCAAGAGGAATGAAGCAGTAGGAATGTGTGTCAGTGAGCATTGAGTGTTGTCATCAGGTACAAACGTGTCGTTCTACTCGTCGGACACGATGCGCAAGATGCGGGAGTTCGAGGTGCCCACGGCGTGCTACTCCGCCTCGCTGGCGCCGGGCCGCGCCACCTTCGTCTGCGGCGGGGAGGACCTCAAGGTCTACAAGTTCGACTACAACACAGGCACAGAACTAGGTCACTATTATAAAATTCCCTTATTCATGTTATCGTTATCTGTGGTTAACACTTTGGGGTCATAAAAATTGTAACCACTTTCCACATTATGACTGATAACATAGCATTTTAATAGTGAAGGAATTATTGATATCGGCCCAGTAGTTTTTGAGTTATTTCAATACATACAAAATACAAATCTTTCCTCTTAATATTAATGTAGAAAATGGTTTTTAAAAAAAATGTTAAGTGCTAGGGATTACTTAAAAAGTAGTCCATACCACTATGCTTGAGACAATTGTTCACTAGCAGCCGGATACTAAAACAATATTTTAGTATGTAACTACATTTTACCTGATACTTCCTCCACACGGAATTAAAAAAAAATAGTAAGTAACCTATGTGTTCTTCCAGATTGTTCTACATTTGTGCCAAATTTCATCGATATCCGTTCAGGAGTTTAGGCTAGAAACTTAATAAACATCTATCTATCCTTCTAAATCCTATTTACGATATCAGTAAAAAGTAAGGTTAATATGTAAATTAATCGATTCTACATAATTAATCGAACCAATCGGCAAATAAAACACTTTTGACTTAAGCCACTACTAAAGTACAGCGATTTATGTGTTCAGAATCAAACAAAGGTCACTTCGGGCCGGTGCACATAGTGCGGTGGTCGCCGGACGGGGAGCTGTACGCGACG